TAAATCATCATCATTATCTTCCTACTTTGACAACCGAGCCATAGTTTTCGAATATGCATGATTCAAACATGGGATCCTTATTGTAAGTTTGCATCATAGAATATAGGCCTAGTGCTGTGGTCTAAATACTAGGGAAGTTTATGGATGTGACCAACCTTCAATCAGCATACAGACCCTGTCCTGGTCTATTTCCACTCAGATTGATTCTCATCAATGGCATGAAGTGTCAAAAAGGCATGCAAAATGCTATAGGCTTTGGTCTTTCCCCCCCCCCCCCCTTCTCTCTAACATATCTAATATGTTGTTTCTAGATCTGAAGAGAACATGAGGGCTGATATGGGTTTGGCTTATGTATTCAAGTTTCTTTTTCTGCCCCCCTCTCCTCTTTTCTACTAATTAGGTCTTGTTTCCAGGTTCCACTCTTCAACATATTAAAGAAGTTTGATGGGGATACTGTCACAGAGGTAGTCCGTCCTCATATAGCTAGAATGCGATATCGTGTAACCAGACTGCCGCCATACATTATTCTACACATGCGTCGATTTACAAAGAATAACTTTTTTGTGGAAAAGAATCCTACGTTGGGTGAGAATTTGTGTACATTGAAAGCAGTTATTAGTAATTTGTATCTGTGTACAGCATGCTTATTTCAAAGCTCAACATATGTTCACTCATTATTTCAGTTAATTTTCCTGTGAAGAACCTGGAATTAAAGGATTACATTCCCTTGACAACACCAAAGGAAAACGAGAAATTGAGATCTAAGTATGATCTAATAGCCAATGTTGTTCATGATGGCAAACCTGGTGAAGGATTCTACAGAGTATTCGTTCAGCGCAAATCAGAAGAACTATGGTAAGTTCTTGTCCATGACAAAGTGAAAGCAATCTAAATGGCTTTATAATATGAGCTTTTCTTATTTGGATTTGGTGCACAACGTCATTTGTATACTATCCAATAAAAACGTGCCATGTTAAATAATTGTAACTATAAATTGATTTTGTCATTGATTATGGTAGAGAGAGAAAATGGAAGAAATTATAGAGGCACTCTTCCAAAAATGAAGTCATTAAAAATAATGACATATAAGATTTTATTTAATTAAACTGATGCAATTTCATTGGCTAGAGTATAGGCGTCGACTCACAATAAAAAATTGTTTAGGTATGAGATGCAGGATTTGCACGTCTCAGAAACTCTTCCTCAAATGGTTGCACTCTCAGAGGCTTATATGCAGATATATGAGCAGCAGCAGTAACATTGATATATATATATATATATATATGGTCATTGCCTGGCCACTTGGTTCAGGGTTTTGAAGGTCCTTTGTTAGAATTCCATTCAGAAGATTAAATATCCTAATCCCAGTTTCTGCTTGTTGAAGATGTTTGGACATGAATAGGAACTTCAGCATTAAACTTGTAATTTGAATGCAGTGTTGTTGACTCCTTTATGTTGTAAAATCTGTTGCTTAGCTCCTGCTTTTGTAAACTTAGAATTGCACTTGAGCTGATAGTGTGCCTGGGTTACCAGGGAGACTAGTTAAATCCATTATAATTTTTTTAGTGGAACATTAATCTGCTCCATGTGGTTTAAATTGTGTAACATAACAAGGTGACATTCAAATTTTTGCAAAAATAAATGCATAAATGTTACAACAATCAACATTTTAATTATATCCTTAATATTACAATTGTTTCAAGGTTATTGTTTGGATCGAACTTACATGTGATAGTAACTATTTTTTAAAAAGTTGTAAAATCTTTTCTTTTGTTAAATATAACGTTGGTTAGGTTTGATGCACAGTAAAAAGCTATAGTAACATTGAAATGTTATTATCTTGATGGCGGTGGTTTTTTTTTGTTTAATTATTATTATATATCTGTTTAAAATTTAAAAATGTAAAAATATTTTAAAATTGATTTTTGTCGGCAAGGTTGTACTATTTATTTTAGTTTTTATATTGCATAGATGAATGTGCACATATTTTACATATTTTGTTGTTAAAACTTTTTCATTTCATCTACTCTTTGAAAGATTTTCGGGGGATAAAAATTGTTCACTTCTTAGCATACAATTTCTCTCAAATTCAAATTCTCTCCTTGTTCTCCCAATCATCTTCTAAATAATATAATTTCAATAAAAATATTTTTCCATGATAAATAATATTGAAATTATTTCCAACTGACTACAAAAATGAGCATAAATGATATACAGGTTTAGAATTTTCTTATAATTTTTTAGTTAAAATCCAGGAAAAAGCCATATGTTGAATGGGAATGAAACAACTCGCAAATTTTGCCGCAAATGGAGACAAATTTTTTTTTTTTTCCGAGGGGCATATTAATTTTAAGTCATAACACTATCAAATTTACATGTAAGTTAAGCAGATCAAGGACAGTTTGATTTGATTTCTATAAATGATGATTGGGTGCTATGCCTGAATTAAATTAGAATTTGGACGGTGTCCGAAATTTTATTTTCAATTAGATAACTTGGAGAAACAACAATTTACTCTACAAACAAATTTGGAGAAATTACAAGTTTTTTTTCCTTTTTTGAAAATGAAAGAAAATGTTAGAAGGCAAATAGGCAAATTCACCTTCATGCTGTAAAAAAAATTATTTACCACAACACCACAATTTTAACAATATTTACTTGGATGCTACAAATTAAAATTCGATCCAATTAACACCAAATTCCAAAAAAATTTGTCAGAGACGTACATAAGACTTCTATTTAATTTTTTAAAAAATTAAATATCTATCACATTCTCTCCTCAACCAAAATTTTTTTTGGTCAGACATGAAGCCAAGTACTATTTAATTTTTTAAAAAAAAATCATATATTTGTATCATCTTTTCTCTAAGTTTTAATTAATTATCTGGGCAAACTTTAAATCATGCAATCCTTATTCTAACATCATTAATTTTATTAAAGACTAAATAATTAATTGAAATACCTAAAAACTCAAACTATATTAGACCTGAGACTTTATATCATCAAGAAATCAAAAATCACAGAGAGTGTGTGATAAAAAAATTTTATTTAAAACATTTATATAACTTGAAAAAGCTTGAAATCATGCTCAAAGTATCTTATTATGAAGTCTCATTTTTAAAATTTTGCTCGCTCTATCTCAGTTTTCATTGTAGATCACGTGAGAGGAAGAAAGAAAAAAAGAAAGAGGAAGTGATGCACGGCATTGCTTGCAAAAGGAGAAATGGGATTAGAAATAATGAGATAAGTTAGTGAGCCTCATGTTTTGGTATGCATTCTCTCTTTCTTCTTTGTTTTTTTTTTTTAATCTTCTTCCTTCTTTTCTTGTCAATAGTTAATAATCTATAAAATCCCCCCCACACACACACTAATCCTTATAGTGCTTTTTTAACATCTTAAAAATTAAACTATGCTAGTGTATTTTGCTAAACACAATTTCTTTAATATTTATATGATTATAAAATTTTTTTATTTAAAAGAGTAAAAACAAAGATGTTACAATGACTTAGTGTCATTCATGATATCCCAATTGATATTTAAGGATCTACAATAATTTAATATCACTCATAACATAACTTAAAATATATTAGCAATTTTATTATTTTTATGCATGATAACTTAATATCACTCATAGCATCTCGTTTGATGATTTTAGAGAGTCATGGTGATTTAATCGGTTAATCCAAACATCTAATATTGTATTAAATATTAACATTTCAATTTCAATTGATTTGGAATTTCAATTGATTATTTAATTTTTAATGGAGCTAATGATTTTGGAATAAGGATTGCATGATTTAGATGCCCAAATAATTGATTAGAGCTTGGTTGAAGAGAGAGAGGATGAGACAGATATTTGATTTTTTTTAAACTAAATAGAAAGTTTCTATGTCTAACAAAAAAAAATTGATTGAAGAGATAGAGAGGATGAGACAGATATTTAATTTTTTTCCTTAATAGAAGCCAAGTTTTATGTACGTCTCTGACAAAAAAAAAAAAAAAGACCAAATTCTAATTTGTAGCATCTAGATAAATAATCAAATATTATTGAAAGTGTAGTGTTGTGATAAATAATTTTTTTTTTTTAGCATGAAGGTCAATTTGCCACACAAATAATATACTAACATATATCATTTTGATCCATAGAAAAACACTTGTACCGGTTCAGTTCATAAGACATTTTTTTAAGTATGATGAATATGAGACATTTTAGGTTTTAAAGATATAATTAATAAAGTTTTTCAAAAGATACTCTTAATTAAATGTGTAATTTTAAAAATAATTAACCAATTGAAAACCGCAATTTAATTACAAGTATTTTATAATATGAACGAAGAAAGTATCTACATTATAATGACAACGTTAAATAATTATTTCACCAACAATTCTATTTAAACTTAATAATAAGCATGTCCCTTGATTTTCAAAAATAAGATGCTTTTCCCTTTTAGCTACATGAAAGTTATTGCCTCCCTGAAATTAATTATCAGAGATGTCTGCACGCTGCTTTTCTTGTTTCCATAAAATTAATATTAATACTAGAACTTAAAACTAGTCGCACTATTTATAAATATATATATATATATATATATATATATAATGTCTCAAATTTCATGTAATACAACAACATCAACAACAAACTTTATCCTGCTAAATAAAATTTAAACTTTGTGAACTACATGAAACAAATATTCAATTAAATTTTCAATTCAAGAGATAAAATATATATCTTTCCTGATAATTTCTAATGAATCAGAAAACGAAAGCACAAATTCCAATCCTAGCATAATGTGCGTGATTAAATATCCATGTCTTTAGAGGAAAGCACAAATTTCCATAGAAAAATGATATTTAGGACGTTCTGAAAACTTATGACCAAAAAAAAAAAGGATGTCCTAAAATGTAAAAACATAAATTACAATTAAGGATTTTTTTTTTTAGCAAAAAAAAAAATTCCAGCTAAGAATGATGGTCCTTTTTAAAATTTCAAAATTTCAGAATCCTTAAACGTAAATAATATTAAAAGGGTCTTTAAATCTCATTCTCCAAATTTCTATCCTAGCATAATGGTGACGTATACAGACCAACAACTTGAAAGATTCCCCTCATCAGAACTATTTTTCTCGTAAAAAATATGATTGACTGTACAGATGATAAAAAATATGCAGACAAATTGGAAGTTTCAAGTTACAACAACAGCTCAGTGATCCACTAATCTTTACTTGAACCAAAATCTCGATTTTTGCTACGAACTAATCGTGATTGTCTTTGGATTGCAACAACTGTTCTTGGACCCTAGCAACTAGCTGAGAAGCTTCCCCATCCAAGTTCAGGGGACGCCTCTGCAAACTCTGGAAACATTAAGATTTACCCAAGGTTGATAATCCACCAACATGATATTTATAACTTATATATTTCATAAAAGGGAATGATAATCCACCAACATGATTGATTATATACAAAATAAACATCAAAAGGAAGGATAGTTATTACCTCAGACGTCCACAAGGAATCATATGGTTTGCGAGGAATTATATGGATATGAGTCTGAAATTTCACATGTTCAGTAATAGAATTAGCCATGTTGAACATTCTAGTCTGAAAAAGAATTGAATTTGCATACGAATTGTAAATGTCTGATTCTTGAATAAATCATCTCACATGAAATATAACTTGCCCTGCAGCTCTCCCATTGTTAACCAGCATGTTGAATGAATCTGCAGAATTCCAAACATCCATGAAATTTGAAGTGGAATGATATGGTCAACTTCATAGACTCACAGTCATAGGCCAGCTTCTTAATCTTGCAAAAATTATTTCTTAACTCATTTCTTTCAAGTTTCAGGAAAATGTCAATACATAATATATCTGATCATGAGATGAGCCTCATCAATTCCATTTTTCTATAGCAGGACAGCTAGTTAAGATTGGAAATTATTTCATTGTCCTAGTATCAATATGTAGTATTCCAAATCCAAGACAAAAAGGGATAATATTGTATTTGGACATGGCCTGTCAAATATAGGCCCGCTAGAAATGGAAAAACTAAATAAAGTCCACGACAGAAGAAAAAGAAATTTAAGCGCATACCACAGCCAGTAGCTTTTTTTATGGCAATGCCAAGGAATGGCACTTTTGAACACATTGCAGCTACAACCTGAAACACAAGTCAATTTGGTAACTAAGATGGAATACTTTTTTATGCACCAAACGTTTAAATTAAATTTACAGATCCTTTTCTAGCACTTTACCCAGGATCTGACTCTGGACTCTACAAACTTGAAGAAAATGCAACAGTTATAGGAGAACAGTTATTAAAACTTGGACAAAAAATATAACCACGAATTTTTATAAATTCTAAACAAGGAATTGGTCGATTTTAGCCATGTTGTTATATTAATTTGAATAAAAACTGAAGTTTGCAATTCTACAAGGCTCACAAGATTTTCAGAACCTAGCTCCAGGTCACCAAAGATTTTTTTTTTTTTTTTGCCACAAGAATTGGCACTATATTTCAACAACAAAATGTCAACAAAACACAAAATTATGAAAGAATGGATTGGATTTTGTCTGGTTACTAGCCTTACTTCTGAAATTTTTCCCCTATGATCTCATTTCTCAACGTGTAGCACTAAGAAAATATTTATTATCACCGTAAAAGCATATACAAACCATTGATAAAAGCAGTCAGCAAATATATTAGAACTTCAGTCTTATTAGACTTATTGATATTACTTACTGATGGAGGAGTAGCATCTAATGAAGGAAAATGAGATTTGGGGATTATGAGAGAGTGCCTGTAAAAAAGATAGAATATGAGAAGTTGATATTCAAACAATGCCAAGTGGAACAGTCAATAAATAAATAAATAAATATTTTTAAAATTTTAAAGACCTGCAGGCATAATTGTTTATTGTCTATTTGTTACCATGTCATGTTTCAGCATCTAATAAAGTGATTCCATTTCAACAAGGCCTGAACAATTTTGCTCTCTCACTGTCACACCAAAATGCACTCACTTACTTCCATCAGATTGTTTCCTTCTGTATAACCTAAACTGGTCCCCTATACCTTATCTTTTCTTGGTCATTCTTATGATTTACTGAATCAGACTGATCTACCAAGCATCTCCGTAAGAAAGTTATAAATTTCCCCAGTATAGATGGTGATGGTCAAAATGTTCATGAAATGTCTGTCATCCCATGCTCAGTTTAGAACATGTTTTACTTCCCTTATATCTCCCATTGTACCTTACCTTCACTTGTTTGTGAGGCACCAAACAAGCCCCCCCCCCCCCATCTTAAGAGATTCAATGTTGGGTCACACAGCTTAAAGGTCTCAGTTACGTTTTATATTTAACTATTAAAAACTACTTTAAAGGATTTTTTTTTTTTATCCCAAAACAGAAGTTCTGAAAATCCTTGGCAGTTGCCAAATTCCAGATGCTTGACCATGTCAATTGAAAATAAGGATATTTTTTTTTTAAAATTCTCCCTCAACCACAAAATTTTACTTCACTTTTCTTTCTATCATGCTGTCACCGGGCTTCTATTGATAAGAAATATCTGATCTATGAGTGCAGTTGGGTGAAGTCAGGCAGATGAACAGTTTTTTTTTTTTGGGGGGGGGGTGTCTAGGCATCTTATCAACTTCCAATATTACTAATGATATTCAGTATCACAATACAGGGAACAGCAATTATGTGCATCTTCATTCCTCCTTGCATGTCCAAATGCGCTTGTGCATAAACTTTTGACATAAAACAAAACAAGAGGACAAGACTATGCGTCACAATATGTCTATTAATACTTGCTATTAAGATATACAATACCTTACCCATGACTCAGCGGATTCACGTCCAATATACATATGCAAAAGTCATCTTCATACAGCTGTCAATTTCAATAAACATTAGGAAAAGATAATCAAAGAAGGAGAAAATTTGTAGAATGTCCAAAACTATCAATACAGACAGCAAAGTTTATTTTTAGCATGGAAGAAGTTCACAGAGCATTGTCCACAATGTTATTTCTACATCTCAACATTTCAAGTGTTCATAATGCAATTGGAAACTTGTAAATTTAATCTCCAAAATCATTGTAAGATGCAGGCAACAAAGAACCCATGAGCTTCCAAGCCAAGAGCCTTAATACTTCTTTAGAGCAGATATTAAATCTTGGCCACTTAAGAGTAAGACATGAAATGAATGTTATACCAATAGCGTTTGTAAGAACCTTACAGTCTCTGATTTTTTAAGCAGGTCATGTGATCACTTTCTCAAAGACATAATATTATCCCCTTTATAATATTTAAGCAACTATGCGGGTCTGCATTCCAGTTTGCCATATCAATGACTGTTTGCCTATTCTTGAGAGAGAGTGAGACTGTTTCGTGTATCCTAAGAAGTTGGGTACTTGACCAGCACTTAAAGCAGCAGCAGAACGGCCCAAACAGGTGGCAAAAAAATAACCACAACCCTCATAAGATTCTTGCACAATATGTATATGAAAAATTTGAAATTTTATTCATTGCCAGAGAATCCAGTAGGTTCTACAAGTCTCTTTCCAATCAGTTTCACCATTTCTTCACTCGATGCAATTTAATGCTAAATTAGAGCAACTACAATACCAGATTGCCCACAAGATATGAAAATTAGCATAGTTCCACAATTTCCTCAGCTACCAAACGACTAATCACGTATTGGCACGTATTTACCAAAACAAGACCCGCAAGACCGATAAGAATAAGAAGGCGGAAGAAAAAAAAACAAAACAAAATTCCGACCTTGAAAGCGGGTGATTCGCCACGGATTATCTTACAAAAAATGCAATCATCCTGCAACTTCTCTTTCTGCGTATCACGCAAAGAGGAAGAAGAAGTACAAGGCGAACCCGAAACCCGCAAACGCTGAAACGAACTATGATCGGGACTCGACCCAATGGGGCGAAGATGAGAACACAAAACGGCAAGTCTCCTTGCCTCCATGGAAGGCTTGAAGAGAATTGTTCCACTGGAGAGGGTGAAGGAGTATGCTTCGCAATGTGTGCTCTAGGAACGGTTTGGATTTTGAATTTGAAAACCAGGCACACAAGCTTCGATCTTTCTTTCTTTGATTCTATTGATGATGGTCAGTTACATCTTACGAGTTGGAGGTTAGGATAGTTTACGGCTTATCTATATAGCACATACAGGTGGGTGGAGATGACGTAACCGAAAGCTTGGGCGATCATTGACTCTCGTAATCCAAAAGAATTCGCTCCACATATGAAGATTCAAGACCGCGCTCTTCGCATTGATGGGACAATGACAGTGTCAGGAAACAAGAACAGATTCAAAGCTCAGTTCAGGATAGAAATAAATGTAGTAAAGCAGTAGCACTTCTTCTTCTCCTAGGTAGGTATCATAAAAAATATTTTTAAAAGACTTTTTTAATTTTTATTAATTTTAATTCTAAAATTTTTATTAATTATTGATTTGATGTTTAAAAAAGAGAGAAAATGTTAAAATCTATTAATCTAAATAAAATGTTGATGACAATAAAATAATATAGATTAATCAAAAATATAATTATTTAAGTAAAAAATATTGAAATTTCAAAAAATAAATAAATAAAATACAGCATAATGGGTAATATTAATAAAAATTAAATTCAACATAAGGTTTGACATTATTCATTTTATTTTTAATTTTTTTTCATGTTCCATTCTAATTTTATACTTTTATAATTTTAACAACTAACATAAGTGGTAATAAAATTTATAGACACATTAGTAAACATTAAGTCCTTGTGATTATAAAAATATAGGAACTAACATCTATATATATATATATATATAAAATCAGGAACCCTAAGCACAAGTGTTAGCATATTATGAAGCCAAATTAGCTCCATATTTTTCTACTGTGAAGACAAGTGTACGCGGGTTAAATAATTTTTCAATGATAAATTAGTATTCATTGTTTGAAAATATAATGCATGCATTTAATGTGTGTGCATGTAGTGAATTAATTTTGTGATTTGGTTCTTTAATTTATGGAAAGTATAATTATGGAATAAATTTGTGAGGAAATTGAATTCTTGAATCTATTTTATTTTGATTAATAATTTTAGGATTTAATATCAATTAATAAAACAATCATAATTTAATCACAATGATTTTCAAGATTGGAAACAATCATAATTTAATCACATTGATTTAATATCAACTAATAAAACAATCATAATAAACAACTTTTTGGAGATTTCTCACGGTGATTTTGACCATTTTAGGTAGTTTAGGTAATTGGAAACTTTTTAGGTAGTTTATGGTAATTGAAAATTTTTTAATTGATTCAAGTAAATTAAATGATAAACGTGTATATTATGTAGTTTATGTTTTAGGTAGTTTATGATAATTGCCAATTTATTTGTAGCTATTTCCTTATATGTATATTATGTGGCTATTATAAGTTTTTTTCCTCACAAAAATCTATGTCATTATTACCATAAGATTCAAATTATCGTATTATTGTGCACATCTAATTTGAATAGCTACAGCAAGTCTATATAAATAGTAGATACACCATTAGTCTTTGTCTAATTTTTCAAGCACTGTGCACGTTAAATATATTCCAAACATATTGTGGTTTGTCATTATTTGCCACTCAATTCATCATGGGTTCCTACATTGATGTTCAATTGCTTTTGAAGCTAGAGCAATGTCACTACTCCTAATATATCAAGCTATATGTTGTGAGGATGTATGAGGTTTTGTGTAAGGTTAGATCAACTACGACGATTGAAAACTTTAACTTCATTGTATGTGATAGAAAGGTATAATTTTTAATTTTAGCCCCAATAGTAATTTCTATTTATGTCTTATGCATTGCCACTAAATATTCTTCATTTTTGATTATTTATTATTTATCTAACCCTGCATCACATTTATTAGGGCAACATGCTACAAGTCAAAGTCAAAATTCCATGGGTTATACTAAGGTTTTCCCACACCTTACATGAAAAGCTTACTTATTCTTTTAGAAATCTTTTTATATGATGTGCGTTCAACTCCATTTCAATTGGGTCCCAACTTTACTACCAAGAAGACACTACGTTTAAGCTGTGCAGTGAGGACATTCCTTCACCACCATTAATCTTTAAACCTCTATTGGATGTTGCTATTATACCAATAGTTCAAGCTACACTCACAAGTACTAATTTCATATTTATATTTTTATATTTGATATATAAAATCTGTTATTTATGTTAATATAATATCTAATTATAAATTTTTATGTCTAGATGTTTTTGGACTTGTATCAAGAGTGGCGATTATCACCATATCAAATATTGTGGCTATAATATTAATGAGTTTATATTTACAATAATCAATGACCGGTGAGTTGTGCCTTTTAATTTGCTTAGTGTTTATATTCAATATTTGCATATGTTTTTATTATTATGATTAATGTGATAGGTTACTAAATCTGTTTTTTATTCAATATTTTTTATTTATGTGCTGTTAAAGAGATATTTTTCACAATATATATAATATGGCAAGATAGTTGATTGACAAAATAAATTGAAATAATTGATATGTTTAATTAATGAAATAATATATTTTTTGGAATGATTATTTAATAATTATATATGTAGTGTGTTTCAAATAATTATATTGGTAAAGTAAAATCTTGGTTGTCTAACTTTATATTTATAAATGGCATTTATTTGTTTTTTTTTTTACATAATATTTATATAGACATGTAGATGACTGGCAAAACAACTTAACGAGATGATCATCCTTCACTTATAAAATAATATATTTTTTTGGTTTTATTATTTACAAACATTACGAAGTGGATTCCAATTCATTAGTTTGGGAAATTTTATTCACGATCATGTAATTTATATTTTTTTAATTTATCTATTTGAATATTCTCTATATAATATATATATATATATATATATATATATATAAAAGATAGGCCAAAAGATGAGTTTTTAAATATTACTTGTAATAACTCCTTTATTGTGTTAAGTCGATTATTTTTTATTTTATTTTGGTTAATATTAAGATTAATGTGATATGTTACTAAATCTGTTTTTATTTTATTTACAAGTAGGAATTTATTCAATTGCATCCTTCTTGAGTCAGCTGCATGGTGGGCATATAATGAGTACAAGTCCTTCAAAGATAAGAGTTGTGTCATTGCTATTTTGCAATTTGTCCTTCTTGACAAGACCAAAAGTGATTTTTTGTGTCCCTTCTATTAGTTTAATTACCCTTCAATAAATTTAACTGATCACATATTAGATAAAATTACTTTTCAGGCATAATTGTTTTTAGGAGTTACTACAATGCAATTCATGTGTTATGAAATTTTGACCACCCTGACATAGACTACTTTAAGTATGCTTGTCTTTGTAAATGTATACTTGAAGATAATCCTAATCATAGTGCATCATCTGGCCATTGTCGTGTTAATCACAACTAATTTATTTATTTACTAGATGTTTTTAGATATCATTTCATGACATTTTGATAGAATATTTTGTTTAATATTTCGTTCATATCAACTTTTTTTACTATTTTATGTGATTAATATATTAATCAAAAAAATTTTTTAGGCCTATCGAGTCTTGGCTTTTGTTGTTTGGTATTTTAATCTTCTATGAATTCATTGACAAAATTTGTAAACATTTCACGCAACCTTGACTAAATAAGGTATGCATCTTGAGTAAATAATATTGTAGAAGCCACACTAACTACAAAGTCATGACATGTCAATCTTAAATAATTGCTGGCACCTTGACTAAATAATCATAGAAGTTCAATTTTAAAGTTTAAGATAATATATTTAATAATAATAGATATTTTTTAAAATAAGAATTTTGTGGGGTGGGTGCTAGAATGTTAGAACCATAAATGCCAAATTTTATGACATTAGGATAATATATTTTATGAATAACAAATGTCCAAAATAAATGTCAATCAATTATGTATTTAGTAAACTTCCAAATTAATATACCAAAGCTAGACTTAATGTCATTAATTTAACACTATTTGATTAGGTCATTAATTTAAAGTTTTCAATTATTGCATCAAAATATATTAACAAACTTAAAGGTAATTAACATTAATTAACACTAAGGGTCAACTTCTTTTTATAGTGTGGCACGAATTTGGATATTTATAATTTGGTGATTGATTATAAATGCCCTTGATTTCAGTTGATACACATATCAAATAAATTCAATTGCCACCATGTGTTATAGTTACATAATATGAACTACCCGGATTCATTTGTTACATGATATGAACTACTAAAAAAAAGAAATACACCATGTATTAATAAGTGTTGAAATTGGCGTATACCACTAATTAAAATGAATCAATCTCTGATGATAGATTATGTACATGGTAAATTACTTTTTATTATGTCATTACTGAATCTTTATTTGAAAAGTACTCAGATTTTTTTCACAAAAAGTACCCAGTATTTTGTTGTTGTTGACAAATCCAAAATTATGTTTCAATTTCATAAGGGTTGAATTCATAACTAAATTTGGGATTTTAAGTGGGAGAAGTTACTAGGATCTAGATCCACATGATAGCAATTGACAATGATTGATATGATCATTAATTTAATTCTTTGAATAATCACATTAAATGTGGACCGTTGATTCATGCAATTAGTAATCAAAATGAAGTGCCCAGAATTTATGTGTGTGAAATTATACTAAACAATGCATACCATTTCAAAATAGATGTCAATGAAGTAATGATTTTTATATATTTCTAAATTTGAAGCTAAAAAATTGAAAAAAAAAAAAAAGAGTATCGAAAATCTTAAAAATGAGTGCTAAAAATATCATAGTTCAGGTTTCAAACATTTATTTAAATATTATTTCCATCAACAATTATATAAGTGTGTGTATAAATAAATATACATATATGTTTATCAAGAGGAAGATTGTGCATAATTGTTATTTCCATACGTTGGTATGCCCCTTGACTAAATAATCGTTCGTGATGTCTTGTTTTGTTATTCCCCTTTTTGGTTGCATTCTCCATGGCTGAAGTTCAATCTTAAAAGCCTCAATAATACGGTAACTTAGAATTTAGATAAAGATGTTAGCCTCTCTGCAATTTAGAATGTTAATAAAAAATAAGACATGCACATTGACTAAATAATATTCACCCGAAATCTAAATAAATATGCACATATGGGAATATAAGGCTTAGTATGGCTATTAGATATGAAAAAAACAAAGGAAACGGACCCAACAGGCAGAATTTGGTACTTATTCGAGGATTTATGTTTTAAAAATAATAATGATTAAGTTGACAATTAACCTAACA